TAACTTACAAAATTAACCACTAATCATAAACATGCAAACCCTAATATCCTTAATTAACACTAATTACAAAGATTAAACTTAGTATTAGAAGCATACCTTCAATAATCTTCACATAAACATCAAGAATTCATCCATTTGAGCCTTGATTCTTCAAGAATTGAATACGTTTGGGCTTAAGTGTGTGAAATCGCACCTTGAGTGTGTGTGAGGGTTTTAGAAGTGATTTGGGGAAAAAATATCAATTTTCGTCCATTTTGCCATTTAAACCCGAATTGGGCCAGATTTGGCCCCGTTGAGGCCCAATTGACTACCAAACACTAAAAAAATCATAACTTTTTGCTCGGACCTCCGTTTTCGATGAGGTTTTTGCCTATGTGATCGTAATAAGATAATCTATGACTTTCAATAAAAATATTTCAGAAAAGATCTTCCAATAAAAGCAGTTTTACGTATGTTACATGACCGGAGACTTTGATTTAACCAAAGAGTTTCCATCGGTCCCTGATGTGGAGGCATCGTTCCCTTCATCAGAATTCTTACATGTACTGTTCTCGTACACCATGTTTTCAAAATCCTGTCTCAAGAGGACAGTTTTTCCATCGACTTTGACCCTTTTAGAATTTGCTTTGGGTTTAGGGAAAAAGTCGGGTTTTTGAATGCATCCAAGTTTGAAGGTGGATTCAAGGGTGGATTTCTTTGTTTCGATGAAGGAGTCCAATTCATTGAATCCAATCCCTTGAGTGTTCTTTTGTCCGTTTAGTTTTTCGTACACATTTTGGGCATCCTTATATTTCTTCATCAGATGTTCATTGGTTTGAAGCTTCTGGTGAAGAATCTCCCTTTCTTTTTGAAAGATATCTTTGAGAGCAACTGAGTTGAGCCTCTCTACCTCGGATTCTTTTAAGGCATTTGCCTTCTTTTCTAAGTCCTTGGTTATTCGTTTGTTTAAATCCAGAAGTTTTTCTTCCTCTGATTTTTTAAGAGTGGCGATGTGAGTCTTTTCCTTGACAAGTTCGGCTTTTTCTTCGGTTAGAAGATCAGTCTCTCTTTTTGTAGAAAATGACTTCTTTTTCCACTTTAAGTATTTCAGATTTTTCAAAATTTAATTTTTCCTTGAGTTTCAAGAAGTCCTCTGAAAGTTTTATTACCCTTAACTCTAGCTCAAATGGAGCAGAGTTGGATTCATCGATAGAAGACTCACATACCTGCTCATCAAAATCAGAGGCGGATTTTGCATTGGACGTGGCTATGAGACAACTGAGTGCCTTATCTTCTTCATCAGATGAAGAATCAGACACCCAATTTTCTTTTTTAGCCATTAGGCTTCACTCTCTTGGATTGTATTTATACTTATTCTTGTAGTAATCAGCATCCTTCACTAGTCGTCCTCTGCACTCTTTGGAAAAAATGACCGATTTTTCCGCACCTGAAGCAGCGAATGTCATTCTTCATTCCGTCTCGGTCTTCTTTCTTCTCCTCTCTTCTATCTTCTCTTCTATCTTCTCTTCTATCTTCTCTATCTTCTCTTCCCTCTCTTTTGTCTTCCCTCTGATAGAATTTTGATGGCTTCTTTTCATAGGATGGCTGGTACTTCTCCCTTCTGAAGTCTCTTCTTTCGTAGGGCTTTTTAATGAACTTCTTCTGGAATTGTTTTGTGATCAAGGCCAGAGATTTGGCAAAAGCTTTAATATCATCATCTGATTCTACTACCAGTGCTTTCTTGCCTTTTTTCTTGTGGTCTCTGGTGGAGGTTCTTGACACATCCTTTTCTTCAGCAGCAAGAGCAAGGGGTCCACCGATGGATAGTTTCTTCTTCATGATATCATTCTCTTGTGCAGCAAGTGTTCCATAGACGTCATGAAGTGACCAGCCGTCTAGGTCCTGATTTGCTTGGAGAGACATTGACAGCTATGTCCACTCATCGCTGAGACTTTTAAGGAATAATACATTATTTTCTTCCTTCGTCCTGGAGATATCATTTCGACGACATTGATTGATCAATGTGTTGAAACGATCGTACGTCTTCTGAATCGGTTCATCAGGAAGAGCCTTGAAGTTGGTGTATTCGTTGAGACATTGAGCTCTATGATTTTTTTTTTGTTTTTGCTCCTCCTTCTAATTGGCTTGCCAGCTCATCCCATAGTTCCTTTGTTCTGGAGCATTCATCGAGGGATTGGAAGATTTCATTGGGAATGGCCATGATGATTAGTCTTTTGGCCTTCTTGTCAGTCTCCACGCGCTCCATATCATCTTCATCCCAATTCTTCTCGTCATTGGGTATGTAGTAAGCTGGAATTTCTGCTGTGGTGTTCATTTCTGGGACTCTTGAAACAAGAGTATGTGGAATGTAGGGACCCTCCATGACAGATCGTAAAAGATTTATGTCAATCCCTTCCAAAAAGTTTACCATTCTTATCCTCCATTGTAGATACTCTTCTCTTTGAAGAGTTGGAGGTTTGGTGAGGGAACTAACACTGTAAGCGGAATTCCAGTTGGCCATTTAAGATTTGGAAGAGAAAAATTACGCTTTTTAGAAAAGATCTTTTAAGAATTTTTATGAATGAATGAAAAAGGCGAATTGAGAGATTTTAATGATCGTTTTGATTGAAAAACAATCAATTGGCTCTGATACCAATTGTTGATCTCAGATCTCTCAATAACACTAATAATTAAGTTAAGAACAACCTAATTATATAGTTTGGATGAATAAAAATGATGAACACTCAAGAACAAATGATGAACATTCAAAGAATATACTTGAGTGTCAAATGATTCACTTTATTTCAATGATTGTGAAAAGCGTCCAAAAGCATTCCGATTACAATAGGCCTAACACCTATTTATACTATTAATCTAAACAAGAAGATAACTATCTAGTGAGACTATGTAGCAAATCTTCTAGGGAAAGATAAATCTTATCTAAACATGGATAATCAACAAAACAAGATAAACTTTTTAGAATCCAGCTGTTGATTTGTCATCTCCAGTTGTCTTCAATGGGGCGTTATTCAACCTTATCTTTATATCTTCATCGCATGCTTCTGGTTGAATTAGTGTAGAAAACTCCTAGTGTTGGTAACCAGAGGGGCTATGAAGATGCTCTTTCTATCGCATCTCTGGTCGATTCATCGACCCTCTGGTTGTACTATGGACTTAGCCATTTTGCCTTGAAGTCTTCCGTCGGCCTTCTGGTTCTTCATCACTTGTTTTTCTTCATTACTTTTACACATAAGAATTATGGGGTCTAACAGATCTGAAGAGGTATTTAGTGATTACAATCTGGTTTACATATGTGTGAAGACTGCCCAAGCCTCAGTGAATGCTGAAGAGACCTTCAGGTTATTCTAGCATTCAGCRATCAAAAGAAGCTTGTTGAGCACAATTGTTTTTGTCTTGTCCTTATACACACAAAGGACAAACCTATACCCTTTCTAAAGTATAGTACAATACGAAGCCGATTAGTTGACTCTACCACCCACCAACTTTATAAAAGGATGTCTGCTCATGAATAGGTTTTTGTACTATTCGCTATAGCAAAGGACAAGTCTTTCTCTAAAGGCTTGACACGTGTTCTAACCCTACCACGTTGCATTAAATGTGCATTTAATGTGCATTTAATGCAGTGGGTATTAATAGATGTGTTTTATCTCCATGTAGATATACTCTTGACTAATACTTACTCTTGAACCCTAACTTACGTTCATAAGTAAAAGAACACACATCTAAGAACACAATACGCTCATCTTCAAGAGCAAGTTAGAATCCCTTTATTGTATTCTAAATAGTTCTTACCCAGAAAGAACTTACTTTCTTCTAAGTCTTGTACAATAAATCTTTTCTTTATTTGCTAAGAACTAGTGTGTAACTTCAGATTGTTTAGATAGGTTTTATTTAACTTATCTTTCTGCAAACATTCTTGTAAAATCTATTTTATTTAACTTATCTTTCTGCAAACATTCTTGCAAACATTCTTGTCACCACTGGAACTGAGGTAGCTCCTCTCGAGGTTCCTCAGTATACTGGTGCTCATCCTCTCGAGTGCACCATGGAGCCAACCAGCGATAATCCTTTAGATATCGATGATGACCCCTCAGGTATTCTATCTTCCTACCCCTTCACTTCTTCTAACCCCGAGCTTCTATTTGCTCACCCTCCTTCACTTTCAGGTCCATATCAGGCTCAAGCCATGGATCAAGAAGAAGAGGAGTACGACACGGTGATGGACGTCAAGCTTATTCTCCCAGTCATCGAGACTGTCCTTATAGAAATGGATGAAGTCCATAAGGACATGTCTCAAAAGGACAATGTCGCTGCGGACCTCTCAGCTGTCAAGGATGAAGTCCAAGAAGTCAAGAGCCAGCTCTCCTCTCTCCAAGAGGCCATTAGAGCTAATGTTGAAGTCATCGATGCTCTCTCAAGCAGGGCTAATGAAGCACAAGCTCTGTCTCTCAACCAGGCGGAGCTCCTCCAATAAGTCCTGGTCGATGTTCGCCAACCAGCACCAGTGACTCCTCCCTTCTTCACCGCTGATGACCGCGCTCAGCTTAATGAGACGGGAGAAGCGACGAACAACTTCGCCAGCGCTTTGGCACGGCTAGAGGAGATGATGGTTCTCTAGATCCACATCGTCGACCAACTTTCTGGCCTATGCTCTCAGGCCTTAGCCAGAGAGGGGGAGATAAGGTCCAACACTGCTGGACCATCTGCTAAACCAGCAACCAACAAAACTGAAGCTCCTAGAGCTGAAGTTGATGCTGAGGTTGCCTGTGATATCCCAACCTCCAGTGAAGCTGTTATAGCTGAGGACGTTGATGCCATCCCTCGTGATGATGACCTTCCCATCACCTCTACACCTGTTGCTGGTGATGTGGAAGATGAAGATGATGATGAAGATGACGAGGAATGAGATGAACCTGATCTCCCAGACTCCGGCAGCGATCTTGATGGCAATGATGACGATGATGATGAAGATGACTTGACCATTCAGTTTCAACGTCCAACAACTGCCACTAAAGGAGTTTCCCTCACGGATTCCGTATCCCAGGGGAAGCAAAGGGAAGAAGAGTTTGCTCCTGAGAAGAACCAGGACCCTAAGTCGAAAGGCAAAGGTGTCGCTAAGGAAATGAACCTGAAGGTATTGTTTCAAAACCCTCAACCTTTATATGATGACTCCACATCTCAAGTAGTCATCACTTCCTTATATCAACTTGAAATCACATCTACTACCTGCGGTCGGCTGGAATGGGTCCCTGAGAACCCTATCTCCAGCACTCCCACCGACCAACAGATAACTCAGCTCAGGGATTCACTCGACCAGACTAGAGTAAAAATCACTCTTCATACCTCTAGTTGTGGTAAGTTCGACTTCCTGACCGAAGCTGAGAGACTCAAGGCATTAAGAGCTGAGGAAGAGCTAGAACTTCAAAAGAGGCAGACTGAGGATAGCCTAAAGTTGGCCAAGTCTCTGGCTGAGAAAGTTCTTCCTAAGAGAAAGTCCAAAAAGAAGGTGAACGTTGTCCAAGCCCAAGCTAAGCTCCTATCTCTTGCAGAAGCTGAGCACGAGAAAAGCCTGAAGTTGGCTGAACGGGACCAGCGCTGGAACAAAGCAAGCATGAACAAAAGAGTATGTCCTCACCCAATTATGAGCGTCAGCATCAGCGGACGATCAAAAGACGGTGGAACGCTGCTCTCAATGCTCATCACCAGGGACAATCTCAATGTCGTGACCGAGTACCCCTCCTATCTTCGCGAGTATGGCCACAGCAAATGGCTGCAAATCAGACAAGCCATTCAGCGCTCCAAGTCCAGACATAAGCTGATTATCGAAGACATCATCAGCGATCTAATCAAGAAGGTGTCCAAGTATGTCGCAGTCCCTGAAAGGCCAACGCTGAAGAAAGGTGGAAGGAAGAAAAGACCTTCAAGTCCTAATGACGGACCATACCTGAGGAACGAACATGAAATAAAGTTCTCCTTAGATGAAGTCTTGAAGGATTCTGAGAGTCCAGACATCTCAATGTTGAATCTTACATTGCCAGCGAAGGGTCCTTATGCACCCAACACTGTGCACTTTAAACCTGAGTCAGGAGTTATATTCCTTGACTATGACGGTGAAGTAAGATTTCAGAGAATGTCTGAGTTACATCTATGCCCTATGGAACACCTAGTTTATCTCATGTTCTGGCTAGATGAGGACTTAAAAGGAAGAGTTATGGACCGAAAGATACGAAAGGAATTTCAATGTCAAAAGAAGCTTGGAGAAGATATACCTGGTTACATAAATCTGAACAACTTAAACTAGTTTATTTCCTTCGTAATATTGTCCATGCACTGTAAACTACTTACTATATCTACTTTCAGTGATTATTCTTATGTTATGTAAGTTTAGACAAGTACTGAAACTCTTGTAATATCTCCTTTGAATTTAATATAAGTGTTTTTGTGTATCACTGAAAAAATCCCTGAAAAGAATAATAGGGACACAAGTCTATGAGTTCTAGTGTTACTTTTACATTCACTAACAATCTATAAATCAGTGAATAAGCTTTCAGTTTAAGTTTCATTCTTGTAAATTTTTTTAGACTTAAACTTAAGAAAATTTTCTATGTAAAGACTGACTCACTGAAAAAGATCCCAAAATAGTTAAAAGGGACATATACTTTATGTGTAACTTTTCCTTACTATTATTTGATAAGACAACTTTCTTTATGTTGTCTTTTATCATCAAATAGGGGGAGATTGTTGATCCTCTCTCTCAGTGATTTGATGATAATCACTTTTACCTTATATGAAGTATTTATGTTTCTGTCTTTCAGTTCCAGCGATCATCACTTAGTCTATTCAGTGATCGCTGAAGAACTTATGATGTAAATCCATCAGCGATAGTGATACTTCAAGAAGACAAAACTCACACCAAAGAACCTTCAGTGAAAGTCGAAGACCGAAACTAAAGATTAGAGACTGGCGACTAAGTGATCTGAAGTGGTATTTAGTGATTACAATCTGGTCTACATAAGTGTGAAGACTGCACAAGCCTCAGCGAATGCTAACGAGACCTTCAGGTTATTCCAGCATTCAGCGATCAAAAGAAGCTTGTTGAGCACGATTGTTTTTGTCTTGTCCTTATACACACAAAGGACAAACCTATACCCTTTCTAAAGTATAGTACGGTACGGAGCCGATTAGTTGACTCTACTACCCACCAACTTTGTGAAAGGTTGTCTGCTCATGAATAGGCTTTTGTACTATTCACTGTAGCGAAGGACAAGTCTTTCTCTAAAGACTTGACACGTGTTCTAAGCCTACCACTTTGTGTTCTATCTCTATACAGAGATACTCTTGACTAATACTTACTCTTGAACCCTAACTTACGTTCATAAGTAAAAGAACACACATATAAAAACACAATACGCTCATCTTCAAGAGCAAGTTAGAATCCCTTTATTGTATTCTAAATAGTTCTTACTCAGAAAAAACTTACTTTCTTCTAAGTCTTTTTCAACAAATCTTTTCTTTATTTGCTAAGAACTATTATGTAACTATAGATTGTTTAGATAGGTTTTATTTACCTTTTCTTTCTGCAAACTATCTTGTAAAATCTGTATTGATCCTTCTTTATCAATATATATTTTAAATATAAAAAGTTTACTGTGTTTGTATTCATCCCCCCTTCTACAAATTGTTATACATATCTTGTAGACCCTTACGGGACCAACATACAAGTATTACCGGTCATGAGGCATGGAACCCGAGCACAGATTGTAGATTCTAGCTTATGGATGTCACCTCTTTTGTCAACAATTAAAAAGATATGGTTAACGCTCAATATGAGAGCACACAATGATCCGTGGTTTTCATAATTTTTATTAAAAGTCGGTGATTGAGATGAAGAAGCGATGGACGAAAGCTTTATTTGCATACCGGATGACATGACCATTCCCTATACTGATGAAGATAAGTCAAAAGATGCGTTGATTGACACAATCTTTCTATCTCTGCAAATCAATGGAACTGAATAGGATTATATCATATCAAGGGCGATATTATCAACTAAAAATGAGAATGTCGATGAGATTAATGATTAGTTAATCGACAAGTTTTCTATAGATGAAAAAATATACTACAGCTTCGATGAAGCAGAAGATGATAAGAATAACATTTATTCGATGGAGTTCTTAAACTCTTTAACTGTTAGTGGTTTGCCTCCTCATTACCTTCGTCTCAAGATTGGATGCCCAATAATACTATTACGAAATATCGATCCCTTGAATGGATTATGTAATGGCAGTAGATTGATATGCAGATGCTTTCAACATAACGTCATCGATGCAGAAATAGTTGTTGGTCAGCATGCTGGAAAGAGAGTATTTCTACTGAGAATTCCCTTATGTCTGTCGAAAGACAAAATGTTCCCATTTAAGTTGAAGAGAAAACAGTTTCCAATTCGGCTTAGCTTTTCTATGACCATCAATAAAGCTCAAGGTCAAACAATTCTGAATGTAGGTGTTTATCTACCAGAATCAGTATTCTCACACAGACAACTTTATGTGGCGTTGTCTAGAGGGATATCACGGGGCAATACGAAGGTGTTAGTGAAGCCTGTTAAAAAATTCAATCGTGCCGGAGTCTACACCTCAAACGTCGTCTATCAAGAAGTTTTACGTGATGAATAAGGTATAATCAACAATTATATTATTACATATTTKGTACCATATGTTTCTTTTAAAATCATTGCGTCGTTTTTCGTAGGAAATATTCACGGATGAGTGCATCACAAAAACTAAACAACAATTCAGATATACGAATGAACATTATTTACAAATGATTGTATTTCTTTGTTTAGTCAATAATTTCAAGTTTTGTAATAAACTCTGAGTATATGGGTTCAGAAACCAATACGTGTGCAGTTATTTTTTCATTTGATTTTGCTAATACACCGTATTAACCTTCAACTTTATATATTAGTGACTTGCAAAATAACCACACAAACTCATTATTCAAGGCCAAAGTAATGTTTCAGAATTCTGATTTATTCGCGCTGCATCGCACTAGTACACCACTAGTATATATGTATATATATATAGAAAGAGAGAGATAGAGAGCTTGGTTCAAACGTTAACCCAAACTATTGTGTTAACTTTGTTAACCATTTTCAACCAATCACAATACATCTTAGTATTAAGTTCATATCCATCTTAGGATTTAATGACAAGGGTATATATGTAATTTTCTTTTTTATGTAACTCCTATATCATTAATTGGGAGTTACAAAATCATAAAATCTCATGATTAATGTTAACTTATTATTAATCTTGTTATTTTTTATTACTTATTTTCTATCTCTAATGTTTATGAATTTGTGATTGGTGGAGGAGACCCGGTAGTAAAGTTTTCGGTATCGTTCAAATTGACATACGAAAGATGATGAATATGTGTGACCATATGAACACAAATTCACATATGAGAACATTCGTATAACCATATAAACACAACTCGACATATATGAATTATTGTGTCAATTACGAACACAAATTGACATATACGAACACTCGTGTGAATTACGAAAACATATTGACCTATGTGTACAGTTGGTATTAATATGAACACATATTGACCCAAATGAATATACGAAAGATGATGAACATGTGTGATCATATGAACACAAATTCACATATATGAACATTCGTACAACCATATGAATACAACTCGACATATATGAACCTTGTGTCAATTACAAACACAAATTGACATATATGAACTCTTATGTCAATTACAGACACAAATTGACATATATGTACAGTTAGTATAAATATGAACACATATTGATACAAACGAACATACGAAATATGATGAAAATGTGTGAGCATATGAACATTAAATATATGAACATTCGTACAATCATATGAACACAACTCGACATATGTGAACCCTTGTGTCAAATACAAACACAGATTGCCATATATGCACACTTGTGTAGTTTATGCCTTTTTTCCATATACACCATTATTCGCACATGAACAATTTCCATAAATATCGAATACTTGTTCACATATGAACAATTAACAAAAAAAAAAACTGTAGAAGAATCTGGTGTCGGGGATCATACTGTTGGTTTTGATTTGGTGACGAGAATAATTCCCGCATAGTTACATTGTTATAAATGGGCAGTTAGAAACATCCCATTGTCATTAATGGGCGGTTACAAAATATCTCATTGTCATTAATGGACAACTAAAATCTTTTTCCAAAATACCCTCGTAAATATTGTTCACTTATGTTCCCTTGTCTATGTGTGCAATTAATTACACTTTATGTCATTAATGATCTTAGTCACAAATTTCAAAGATCGTTGGCCAAGATTGGTTAACAAAATTTAACACAATAAACTTGGTTAACATTTGGCATTGCTTGTTGTTTTTTCTAGTTTAACTAAGTTTATGATATAAAAAAGCCGGGATTGGGAAAGAGTACATGGACGAAAGTAAGTTAGTCGGTCGAAAGATTTCTGTGAAGTTTCATATACAGTCGTGAAACACGCAACACCCATGTTATGAAGTTCGTCTGAGCTCCAAAATGATTCTAGAAATAAATGTATAAATTAATCGAAGCTTTGTTTTGCATCTCCATTGTGTTGAGTTGACTATAGTTTCGAACTAAATACGAGTGTAAACAATAGGCTAAAGGCATGAGTTTTAGGTTTGTTTTCTTTTGTCTTTATTATTAAATGAGGGGTGGGTAGGTAACTCCGTCAATATCAACAGATAACGTTATCCACTCCAAGCTTATCTTAATAGAATCATTAAATCGTCCCTCTCTTTTCTTGTTTGTTGCTACTGTTAGTACAAAATATATGGCTTCTTTGTATTTCTAAATTGTCATACTACGGTATTTTCCATCCTAGGTGGTATAATTAAAAAAGAAGAAATAAATTTATAAAACATCCTAACAAAACGATGTAAAAAAGATATATGACATGTTTGCAAGGTTTTAACATTAAACCGTGTAAAAAGATGTTAACTTTCATTATTTTGCCTATCACTACTTTTACATGCATGATTTTTACCACATATTTTAAACGGTTTTTACCATAATAATGCATGATCCTAAAACCGTATAATTAATAATCTCCTATTTTTTACCCGGATTTCATACTTTTTTACGCCGTAGGCTTTTATATGGTTCTAAAACAATATCAAATTTCTTTGTTGTAATGTAAAAAAAAAAAAAAAAAATTGTACCATAGCTAGTGTTTGATATCTATAATAGATTCGAATAACCTAACAATGTGTAAAATATACTGATGATTTTTTACTCGTCCAATTCACCGAATTTTGTTATAAATCTTGAAAAATATACGCATATATTCACCATAATGTTAACATGACAATTCGTTTTACAAAATATACTAATGATTAATTATTGACTCGTCCAATTTGCTACGACATTTATCGTATAAGGGTGTTTACAAAAATCTTAGGACCGTTCAGTTTGAATTTTTTTCTAAACCGTAGTTACGGTTTTGTTTATGATTCGAGGTAAAACCGTCCAAACCGGATCGCAAACACCTCTAATTTATCGTGATCTCAATTACCAAATTTTGTTGTTAAATCTTAAAAAAATACAATTAAATTAATTACATATCTTCAAAATAATGGAAGAAAATAATATTGCAAATCGGTGCCCAATTCGTCTACATATTTTAGGATGCCCAGAATTTGATCAAATATTAACGTAAGATCTATTTATTCATTAAAAAAATAACATACAGTAATAACAGTTTATATTTATAATTATGTAAACTATTTTACGTATTTAAATGCTTTAACTGTTTCAATTATTTTCCATTTTGGATCATCTTCCAAAAAAATTGCAAAGATCTGCGATTTTTATTTCGATTTTAATTTAAAAGTTATTTTACAATATTTATGAGCTACTTTGTCAAAAAAATATATATATATATATATATATATAAATATATATATATATATATATATATATATGGGAACGTTCAAATAAAAACCACCCAATTTGTAAAAACCGTGAAAACCACATTCAACCATTCATAAATTTTCATTTTGTCATTTTTTGTAATTATGAGAGGTTGATTAACCATTTTTATTGTGGAGGGTGTTAATCATGGATATTATCATATTCATTATTTTAATTTTAGATAAAAATATGAAACAGTTTCATTAAAATTTTCTTAAGTAGTATATGAAACAATTTCATAACCACATATGAAATAACTTCATCAAAAAAATATTATATGAAATAATTTCATAAGATTAACAATTTCATGAAAAAATTTCATAAGATTAACGACGGATGAGAGTAGTTTTTACGGTTTTTACAAATTGGAGTGGTTTTCATTTGATCGCTCCTTTATATATATATATATATATATATATATATATGTAGGGGCCTATTCAAGAGAGAACTGATTAGTTTATGTTAACTGTGAGATCCAATCTCAACCACAAATCAACGGATAAATTAAAAAATTAATAATTATGATAGTTTGAGTTAAAATCATAATTAGAGAGCATTTTAGGTATTTTTAAAGAACTCTTTTCTCCTCTCTCCTCTCTCATCTCTCATCTCTCCGACCTCCGATCTCCGGCCTCCGTGAACAAAAATCTGGCAGGTACCACGTAATCACAAAAATACATAATGTGATACCCATTGTGATATATTATGATACTCATTGTGATATATTGTGATACCATTTGAGTACCACTGTATATCACAATGGATATCACATTGTGTATCTTTGTGATTACTTGGTATCTGCCGGATTTTTGTTCACCGGACACCGGAGATTGAAGGTCGGAGAGATGAGAGAGGAGAGAGAAGAGAGGATAGAGGAGTTTTTTTAAAATACCTAAAATGTTTTCTAATTATAATTTTAACTCAAACTACTATAATTATTAATTTTCTAATTTATCCGTTGATTTGTGGTTGAGAGTGGATCTCACAGTTAACACAAACTAATCATTTCTTATTTGATTAAGCCCATATATATATATATATATATATATATTATAGAGGGGGTTTTTATTTGAGAACCCCATATAATTATGATAACATTGAAAACCAGTGTTGTTTAAATGATTTTTTACATTTACGTCTTAAATTAGTGTTTTGGTTAACATAAAATGTATCACAATTTATATTGTCAAACAAATATATGTTAATTTATTCAATTATAAATTTAGATTGAAAAAAATCATCTATGCAATATTTTACGAAAATACTTCTTATAGTTATCAAATGATTTAAGCATATACTTACACCCAAATCATCAAACACGACGGTATGGGGATAAAGGTTTGAAGCCATGCATAGTCACGAGAGATGGCTACTCTTTCACGCAGCTGCACCCAATATCAATTAATTGGATCATGAACCCCAACTCAAAAGTGGCTGCATTGCTTCCATAACCATAAACCGATCCACATCCATCTCACGGACCCTCCATTCCTTAACACAAGCAACCACCGCTACATAAATGCAATTTTCTATGCATTTACTCCTCCCAATCGGCATATTGATCAGCCACCCACGTTAAGAACTTCATACCAAGTCTCATCGATCAGATCACTATGGGGTGGACAATGAGGGAGTTTGGGTTGTGGGTAGTAGCTGCTTGTTTTTTGTGGTCAGTCGCAAAGGGCTGGTCACAATTGGAGCCACAAGTTCCCTGTTTCTTTATCTTTGGCGACTCTTTGGTTGATAATGGTAACAACAATGGACTTCTTACTCTTGCTAGAGCCAACTATAGACCATATGGCATCGATTTCCCTCAAGGTTCAAGCGGCCGGTTTACTAATGGCCGCACCTTCGTTGATGCATTGAGTAAGTCTGTCACCAATTAGGTTACTTTGTATGTAAAATGAATTGGTGAAATGTTTGTCCATGTGTCCAATGGTATATATCAATAAAGTTCTACACAAACTCAAGGTTAATGTTATCCTATTGTTGCAGCTCAACTTCTAGGATTTCGAAACAACATCCCACCATATGCTAGAACTCGTGGCCGTGCAATACTTGGTGGACTGAATTTCGCATCTGGGGCTGCTGGTATCCGTGATGAAACGGGCAATAATCTTGTAAACTACATTCTCTATTCCCTTCTATTCGATTTCCATTTCCTTTTTGTTAGAAAATGCTATAAGCTTCAATAAGTTTTTAACTAGGGTTTGAAATAACGTGCAAATATATACATAGGGGGATCATATTTCAATGAACCAGCAAGTAAAAAACTTTGAGAGTATAGTGCAGCAGATGAGACGTTATTTTAGAGAAGACATGAATGCTGTGGGGGATCACCTTGGCAAATGTATTTTCTACTCTGGGATGGGAAGCAACGACTATCTCAATAACTACTTCATGCATGATTTCTATAATACCGGAACCCAGTTCACTGCACAAGCTTATGCAAATGCACTCATTCATGACTATTCTAGTCAGCTAACTGTGAGTATTCATTGCCCTTTCTTTACAATTGTACCATTCAGATTGTCCCAATTGAATCGGCATTGTGTCAAAGTGTATTTCTCTACTCAAATATACCTTTTATGGATGGATCGTCAAGTCACAAGGTTTACCATGTTTTCTGTTGATTCATTTTCATAAATAGATTGTGGTTATTGTTAAATTTTGGATTACTTTTGTGGTTCGACTATTTCTCAGGCGTTGTACAATTTGGGTGCACGGAAAGTGGTAGTAACTGCGGTGGGGCAAGTTGGGTGCATACCATATGAGCTAGCCCGGTATAATGGTAGCAACAGCAGGTGTAATGAGGAGATAAACAATGCTATCATCTTATTTAATTCGGGCCTACGGAAACTTGTAGATCGCTTCAACAAGGGTGAGCTACAAGGAGCAAAATTCATATACCTGGATTCGTACTATGCCATTAAAGATCTTACGCTCAATGCTCAATCTTATGGTACTGCAAACATACAAACATACCATATATTCTTTCCTCCCAGTGATTATTAGAATGTGATACATGAGAATTGGCTTGAAAAATACGTCTTACTTGTTTTGAAATTGTATGTAACTTAGGGTTTGAAGTGATGGATAAAGGATGTTGTGGAGTTGGAAGAAACAATGGGCAAGTGACATGCCTTCCTCTTCAACAAGCTTGTCGGGATCGGTCAAAGTACATATTCTGGGATGCCTTTCATCCTACCGAAGCAGCAAATATCGTGACTGCAAAATCATCATACTCATCAAGTTCATATACATATCCCATGAATATTCAACAACTAGCATCACTATGATGCTCATGTAAAAAGGGGGATTATAATCATGAATGTCAATGTGTTATTTCAATGTTATTTGTATTTGAAGGACTATGATGTCCAGTTGGAAGATGTTCTTCCCATTTGAAGGATGGAATTGTCAAGTGTGATGATATATAAATTGCAAAATGCAATGATGTTTGTCTTGGTTTCTAAAATTTAGTGTAATAAAGAATGTTTTTTCCTTTTTGTGTTATGACATGGGAGTATACGATGTTCCAACACAACCTGTGTCTTGTAACATGTACATGATAAAACAAAATAACAGAACAATCAAAGTGGCACAGGTAATGTAGTTCACTGCAAGGTCGTGTGCCCGTGCCTAGGTAGAGAACTAATTCACTATATTTTAAGCAAGATACGATATAGACATATAGTGATCACTCATCTTTATAGTGTTCCCTTTTATAAGATAGCTAGGATGCAAACACTTAGATTGGTTGATTTGGTTCCTACAAGATCCGTTCATAGGATGCTAACAGACCTCCTGTTAAACATGATGTTGCAACATACAGTTGTAACACTGGAACTAGTAAAGTACTTTTCAAAATTGTCATATGAAAAGGATAATAGAATGATTTACATTTTTATCCTATTAGTTGCCTACCTTCGTGAACAGAAATTGTTATGTTGTCTAATTTCGTCCTAACATCTTATTATATTGCTTTTAGATATGACAAACGATTCTTATTCCTATAAAATTTGAAGTCTTTGATATAAATTTAAACCTCGTTAACTACTCTAGAACATTCAAGGATGGTCATGTGTGATAAAAGATTCCTTTAGTTGTAGTGAATAATATACTTATACTTTGTATGAGTTTGATCTCTCCAATTTAATTACCTAGTTGATCCCCTTTCTCAATGATTTGATGATGATCTCTTTTATCTAGCAAAGTGTACTATCTCTGTATTCAGTTTCAGCCATCATTACTGAGTCTCTTCAGTGATCGCTGAATAGTTCCTCCAAAGACCAGAAGGAGTATCCTTCAAGAAGACAAAACTTACACCACAGATCCTTCAGCGATATCGAAGATAGAAACTAAAGATAGAAACAAGCAAGTTCGTGATCTGAAACGGTTTTTCAATGATCACAAGCTCGTCTACACAAGTGTGAAATCTACTCAAGATTCAGTGAACACTAATGAGACCTTCAATGTCATTCCGGTGGCAACGATCAAATGAATCTTGTAGAACAAGATTATTTTTTGTCTTGTCCTTCTACACACAACGTACAAACTCAAACCTTTCAAAGTAAAGTATTGTATAGAGTCACTCTATTATCTCCAAGCATGCTTACCTACTTTATGAAAGATGAATGTTCATATACAGCCAAAGACTGTATATTGCAACAAAGGATAAACTCACCTCTTGAAGATTGTCATGTATTTTGTACCTTCTGAATTGCATTTAAAGCAATGAGTATAATAGCTGAGTAGGTCTCTCTTCTTAGTTAGACCTATGAGTCTCAAATCCAAGCATCCTTGCCTTGAAGATCTTACCCAAGAAGATACTGCTACCTCTATATCTCTATCTAAGATAAAGACTTCCACTATAACAAGTGAAGACCACAATACTTCTTAACGTATTTCTTGTAGCAAATCTTATCTCCTTGCTATTTGTAATTTGTGTTTCTTTGGTTTTTTTTAAGTTTTGTATCGTATATTTTCCGCAAACAATTTGTAAAAATCTGTATTGATATTCTTTATCAATATAAGTTCTCTAAAAGTGAAAGATGTTGTGTTTGTATTCACCCCTTACAAACTATTACTTATAAACTCTTGTAGATTCGGGTGAAACCAATAAGTGGTATCAGAGCAGTGTTTGTTTTTGTGTTGTATTGTTGTTTTATTGATGTTGTATTATCTCTTCTTTCTAGATAATTTATTTACCTTTCAAAATGGCTTTGCAAAACACGAGCACAATTTTTCACGATAATGACTCTCTTGCCAAACCTCCCCGGTTTATCAGAGACAACTTTCGTCTCTGGAAGAACCGGATGTCTCTCTTCTTGGAAGATGTGGATTCTGAGATTTCATACTACATTGAGAATGGACCTTATGTTCCATTCACAATCTCTCCAGCAAATCCTGCTACTGCTACAACTGCCGCGATTTCTGAACGGCAGATTCAGAAGCTCCTTCATATGTGGAGTAAAGAAAATGGCTTTGGATACTCGTGTGAGATCTAATAGTCATGGCTCTTTCTGACGAGGTTTATCACTCAGTGATGAAGCTTAAAACCTCTATAACCATGTAGTACACTCTTTTTATTCAATATGAAGGTACTAATAAAGTAGAAAATCCGAGAAAGATAAATCTAGTAAGACAATATGAAAGTTTTCTTTGTGGAAAATCTGAATCTTTGTCTGAAGTACATCAACGGTTTAATTGTCTTCTTATTGATTTGAGGACAGTTGGAAGAGAATATTCCAACTCAGAGACGCTAACAAAGTTCCTTGAATGTTTGCTAGAATCATGGGATAATATTACCATGTGATTCAAGATGTCTAAAGACAGGTCATCCCTTTCCCTCAGTTCTCTTTATGGGATATTGCTTCATCATGAGCAATCTCATCAGCTAAAGAAGAATCGTTTAAAAGATTCCACAAAAATGAAAAACTCTATGTTAACTTTGATCTCTGAAAGCCTTCAGCAAATCCTTCTATTTATATTAAAAATCTTTTTAAACCTTAAGAACAATCTGTTCTGTAAATGATTTCTCAAATCATCTAATCCTCTTTAAATCCTTAAAACAGGATATCATTCTCAAAACTGTTTTTAAAAGAACAGTTTTTGCTTTTTTCTTTTCAAAACAGTTTAATCCAAAATCATAAATGCTTGGTTAAAACTGTTTAGAAAACAGTATTTACCAAATTTGTTCTAAAATCCACAATCATCAAAACCCAACAGTTTATAATCAACAATAATTTTAAAACTCACCTTAACAACACAAATTCTGCAAGTTTAATATATAGCAATTCACAGAATCTTCAAGAACTTTTAAAACGGTAATTTTATTCAAGAATGCTCTCCAACATCTCAAACACTTTTCTCTCTCACAGGTTTTGTTTCTAAAAGTGATAAAATAAAGATCTCATCTTTTCTTTCTTTAAATACTCTCACCAACGCAATGGAGATTACTTTAATTATGATAATAGTTTTAGGCGGTGGAAAATAATATTTAAAAGTCATCCTTGCTTCATTATGAAGATATTGCATTTTCATACAATAAAATATTCAAATTTTCATGTATGCATCGCACCTCATTCATGCACATATAGATCATGTATGCATCATATCACCTTTTCACATATATGCATACCATTCATGCAATAATTAATTACTATGTCTGTCATCACGTAGTTTCAAATAATAATCACGTATAGGTTACCTCAACCCAAGTTGTTTGAAACCCGGTTATAACATTATCTCCCGCTCAAAAGAATTCCTTCCTGAAATTCATTTATTCAAATAACCGCGGGTATCGGGTTCTCATATCAGATTCCAGTTCCCATGTTGCTTTTGAACCCTTATGAAAATGCCACTGCACCTTTACCAAGCTGATTTCTTTATTTCGCAATACCCTGTTTTTTCTGTCAGTTACGGCCTCCGGTGTTTCAACAAAATTCAACTTATTGTCCAGTTTAATCTCAAAAAGTGGTATTGCTAGACTTGGGTCTACCAAACATTTGCATAGATTTGATACATGAAAGGTACTGTGAATATAACTGAGTTCTTTTGGTAATTCCAACTGATAAGCTACCGGTCCAACCCTTTTGCAGATTATGAATGGTTCAATATACCTCGGACTAAGTTTTCCTTTTTTTCCCAAATCTCATAACACCCTTCCATGGAGAGACTTTTAACATCACAAAGTCTTCCACGTTGAATTCAATTGGTTTTCTTCGTTTGTCGGCATAACTTTTCTGTCGATCTTGGGCAGTCTTGATTCTTGCCCGAATCTGTTCAATCTTTTCAGATGTTACTTGCACAATCTCGGGACCTGTCAATTTTTTTTCACCCATCTCATTCCAACACAACGACGTTCAACATTTTCTTCCATATAAGACTTCATAAGGTGCCGCTTGGATGCTGGAGTGATAACTGTTATTGTAGCCAAATTCTATCAATGACAAGTGTTCCTCCCATGATCCCCCGAAGTCAATGACACAAGTTCTCAACATATCTTCGAGAATTTGGATGGTTCTTTCACTCTGCCCATCTGTTTGTGGATGATAAGCCGTACTTAATCTGATCTGCGATCCCAAGGCTCTTTGCAAACTTTCCCAGAATTTTGAAATAAAACGACTGTCTCTATCAGATATGATGGATAATGGAACTCCATGTCTGGTCACAATTTCTTTGATGTATATTTGAGTCAATCTTTCTAATGAATAAATTTCTTTCATCGGTAGAAAATATGCAGATTTTGATAGACGATCCACTACTACCCAAATTGCATCATAACCTTTCGGAGTTCGGGATACCTTCATGATAAAATCCATCGTAATGTGATCCCATTTTCAGACGGGTATTTCCAATGATTGTAGATTTTCATAGGGTCTCTAATGCTAAATTTTAACTTGCAGACAAGTTAAGCATCATCCACATATTTTGCTATGTCTTTCTTGAGACCTGGCCACCAATAAAACACCTTCAAATCTTTATACATTTTGTTGGTACCTGGATGAATTGAATAACGGGACTTGTGGCTTTCATTCAGGATGGTTTCTTGCGTATTTCCGTAAACTGGTACCCATATTCGACCTTGGAAATATAAGATTCCTTCAGTATTCGGTTCTAAGATGGAAATTATTTTACCCACTTTTTCTGTTTTCACATGTTCTTCCTTAACGGCCTCTTTTTGATGGCTCAAAATCTCTTGATGAATATTAAGAGTTAGATTTATTCTCATTGCTACTGACTTGATTGTTCCACTTCTTTCTTTTCTGCTTAATAAATCGGCCACCACCTTTGCTTTTCCCGGATGGTAGAGTATTTCACAGTCATAGTCATTAACAAGTACGATCCATCGAGGTTATAAACACGTAAGATATAGGTTACCTCAACCCAGGTTGTCTAAAACCAGGTTATAACAAATAAACAACTTGTACATTGTGCAAAATATTTTGTAATTAAGAGATTTTTGAATTCTTGCATAAAATGATGGTACTCTATACTTTAAGACTTGTACTTAAGATATAAGTCTAAATGCTTATTAATGTAGTATATATATATATATATATATATATATATATATATAGGGGAGCGATCAAATGCAAACCACTCAATTTGTACAA